TCTATTGTATATCCAAAATGTCTTCAACTCAGAAGAAATGTGTTTAATATGGTCGTGGTCGCTGGCCTGCGAAATGCAGTTCACCATTTTGTCAACCGCATTGCTGTTCATTTATGCAAAGTAATTTTTTTTTATTTGGTTTTGAAAATTAGGCTTAATCAAATATCAAATTGAATTCTATTTGTCTCGTCTCGAACAGATATCCAAATGCAGCAAAGACAGTTTTTTGTTCGCTGTTTGCTATATGCGTTGGTTTGCTCTTTTCAATAGCCATTTTTACGAAATGCACACTCACCTATGATGTTCTACTTTCGTTGCTATCTGACATTTATATTCCACCGTGGACACGAGTCCTTCCGTACCTTGTTGGAGTTGCAGCTGGCTATGTCATGTACATGATGAAGGGTAAATTGCCCTTGGGTAAAGTAAGTGTTTTACCAGAATATTGACAATTTTTGTAACGAAACAATTTTTTTAAATTTTCTTCTTAAGAAAACCATCAGAATGATTTGGATCGTAATGATAACAACACCTATTTCTTGTCATCTATCGCCACTAAAACGTGATGCATCTTACGTTACGACCGCGTTTGCGATTACAATCATGCGTGTTTTGTATCCGGCGTCAATATCATGGATGATTTTGGCCAGCTATGCAGGATATGGTGGTCTCTTTGCCAGGTTTCTAAGCCATCCAATTTTCGTGCACATCAGTAAATTATCGTATGGAATTTATTTGCTAAATCCAATGGTTATCATTGTGATATATGGATGGCAAGATCACAGCACACACATCGACCCAGTTTCAATGGTTTGTAGAATGTGAATCGCATGATATTGTCGAAAATTGAAGAGTTTTCTTTCTTATTCATTAATTCATTTTATTATTTTTTTTAGGTGGCAATGACAACTGGAATTAATGTCTTCGTTTACCTAACGGCGGTGGTGTTTTCACTCATGTTCGAAATACCATACACAAACCTTTCGGCAAAACTCTTGGGTCAATCATCATTAAAACGGGAAATGGTGGCGTTTTCATCAAAACCAACCAAATTGATTGGAACGAAGAAGATACTTTGACGTAAAAACCGGTGGAGTTTGGTATGATTCATGGAGACTCAGTATTCGACCCGATTCCAGCGCATTCCGTTCTTGTGTGCATTCGTACAGTAATTTATTCGTATAAGAATTGTATTTCTTTAGGATGATTTTTGTATTTTGTTAGGATGATTTTCGTAATTTATAGGACGATTTTTGGGGTTTTTTTTGACGTTTTTCGTTTCACCCGTATAAAAAGAATGCAACCTTGCATTGGCATATAAGAACGGAAGTGATTGAATCAAGCCATTCACTGAGAATACACGAATCAAACCAAATCCAGCCTGATTTGTACTTTAGCCCATTAAGTCTTAATTATTAACTTTATCTCTAGAGAATTACACTCCCATCGATTTGTTGATTTTACCGAGCTGTTTTCCAGATATTTTGATATCTAATTCTTCTTTCTGAAAACGTTGATGTCTTGATAATAATTTGAAGGAAACACATTAACGAAAAAAGGAATTTAAACGCCTCATGAATTTCGATGATAATAAAATGCCACAAAACGAAATGCAAAATCAAATTGTCAAATCTGTACATTCAGTCTCCAATGTATTTTACGCTTAAGCAATTACATTTAGGTAGATATTCACGGCTCTTTCCATAGAAGAAAAAGACACCTTTTTTAAATTTCCTAACTATATTTAATGAGATATATAAACTCCATTTCAATCGTTCGGACTCCGAACCTTGACACTTTTGATGATTTGAGATTGTCACATACAGGAAATAAAAAAAATAAAAAAAATAATAAAATAAGTTGTTTGGATCTAATGAGGCATCCAAATAGAAACTATAATAGTTTTATGATCTGCATGTGTAAAAGAATTTTGTTGCAATTTATTGCAATCCAGGTGAGTGTGTTATAAAATTTGATGACAAAAATATACGTAAATCAAATAAAATCTTTTAATATCAACAGTCCGAACACATTAATCCCCCATTAGTTTTTGAACAATGACCATCGACCACGAGTCGATGCTTGCTATTTAAGCGACATCAAGTGTGGAACAGTCGCTAATTTTCTTGTTAAAAAATAGGAGGAAAAAATCAAGTGATAAGAAGGCAAAAAATAAGTGTTTAAATTTCCTACCACTGTGATTCGGTTTTGACTGTTCTCTGTACTCACTAAATGTGTGTAACCACGATTTTTCTTTATTTTAATTGCAGAATCAGATTATGAATCTTAAAGTGTCCGTAGTTTTGTTACATTTTTTCACCATATTGGTGCCAATTGGCCATAATGCTGCCAAATCGTTTATTGTTGCAGCGAGTGATATTGAGGTGAGTGAAACAGCAACGATCGTGTTATTTTTACGTCAAATTTTGCTATTATTTTAGCAAATTAATTACTGTCGCGATCTCATTTATTGGATCATATCAGTATCGATCATTGCTTGTATCTAACGCGATCGTTTCTGTGTCACTCATCTCAATATCTCTTGCTAATTAGCCAACAGAGTTAGTAACATCGCATAATGAATTCGATCGCCTAAAATCAATATCAATTTTATATGGCATTGTTGACATAGCATCAAAGCGTCCACAAGCGACAAGCCAATGCCACCGAGAATTGAATCAAATCTACGATGGAATTCATCGGAAGGAAATATGGGCGATAAAAGGTAGGCAATAACCCAGAAATCCTTTGGAAAATTTCATCGTATACGTTAAATGTGTGAGAGTTCATTTGAATCAAACGGCTTATCTTTCCGATGATTTGATTTTTCACCCAGAATATTCGAAAAAGATTAATCAATTGTTCATTCAGCTTTGGATGCATCTGCAATGCCAGTTCCCGGATTCGTACTTGGTCACAACTTTTGGATGGGTTCAATACAAGGTTGTCAAGCGGTACAAAACCCACTACCACTCACAATATCACATCGTTTCACACGATTTAGTCATAGTGATTTGTGGTCGGCAACTGCACCATTTGATATCGGTTATCGAATGGTTTACGCAGAGCATCGTTCGCCGTTCCAAGTTCAAGTGGAATTCTTTTTAGAGACAAATGTATGGAATTTCGTTCCGAATGGTCATGTTATTGTTCTATGAATAAACATGTGGAGATAATTCTGATTCTTTTCTTTACAAATTCATAGAAAATACTTCATGTGGGGCTTTGTCTACCCCGATCCTGTTCCAATGGTGAAATTGCCAATTTAACGCAAGAATTCTTCGATTCATCCATATTGAGCGCTCAGATTATGCACGATCACCAGCCAAATGTGCTGCAAGTTAAGGATCTTAATGCCAAAACAAATTTGATGGATAAATGGAGCTTCCGATTGATTGGGTAAGATGGTAGACGATATTCTGTCAGTCAGTGGAATATTTGTATTGAACGGTGTCATTGTTTCAGATTCTGTGTGGGTTTCACATTGTTAATGATGGTGATCGCACACATAAGAGAAGGCAGTAAGTATGATGAGGCCATGAAAACAAGGCATCTCGTTGAAACCCGAACCGAGACCAATGACATTGTGTCATCTAGCCTTGTTACCGCTCCATCTTCAAATTCACCAGACTGTCCCCGAACCAGTACACCGATGAAGCTGTTCCTCGATGAAATTGTCGAATGTTATTCACTGCGAAAGAATATTCGAATGCTTGCCAGTGCCAATGCTAAAAAGGCTGCCGATGCGGTGCCCATCGTTGATGGTCTAAAGTATGTACATCGATTTTATTTGACTCAAAATTTGAATATGAACTCGATGTGAATTGTAATTTTTTAATATCAAACTCATTACAGATCGTTTGGTTGTTTTTCAATTGTGTTGTTCCACATATTCTGGTTCAATCATTTTACGGTGCATAATGCCACGATGATGTTTTCATATGGCGAACAGGACTTGTGGCAATGGGTTATGACAACATTCATCGTCCTTGAAGTTTTCTTCACCATTAGGTTGGGCTATTGCAGCGATTTTCTTTTATTTAATTTTTGCCCATAATTCCAATTGCGTTTTTTCAAAATGTGCGCATTTTAGTGGTCTTCTGTTAACATACAATTTCTTGTGCAATCAATCGAAGCTGGATGAAATTAAAAACAACAATCTCTTGCAAAATGTGAAATTGTTTGGCAAACAGTTGTTACACAGATACATAAGGTTTTATAGTTTTTTATTTCTTTATTCAATTTTTTATTTTGAGATGGAATTTTACTACATTAAACGGAATTGACTCAAGTACATAAAGCATTTTTTAACATATATCTACGGTGTACAATTTTCATTGATAGCAGAAAAGTTCTTGGATGCTAATCATCTGCCTTAACTGTGTATGGCAAAGAAACGCAAGGCATGTACTCTTTGTGTGCGATTTCACGACAAAAATATACCATTTACTCTGTATTCAACTATGTATAAAATTAGCGTGCGCATGGAATATACGCAGCATGTCTGAAGCGTTCTTTTCTTTTATTGAGTACCAATGAAAATTGTACACCATAGGTGTGTTAAAATAATGCTTCAGGCACCTCAGTCAATAAATTCAGCTCAACTCAGGTTTGCACAGGAGCAAATACGTACTCTCTTAATGGTACATTTTTGATCAGTACTCATCAATCATGGAATATTTTCAGACTGACGCCAATGTATTTGGTTGTTATTGGCTGTGTGGAAATCATAACATTGCGATTGGTAGAAACATCGCCGTTCTGGATTCATGATCGAAACGATGTGAACTGCTGTGAATTTTGGTGGAGAAATCTATTGTATATCCAAAATGTCTTCAACTCAGAAGAAATGTGTTTAA